CACGTCAAAACTGCCATGTCAAAACGGAACCACGCAGTTGTCGTAAAATGACTGACATTTGGGACGACGGTTTAACATTATGCTTCCCCTTTCCATTGTTTAGATTATCGTGTTTTTTTTAGCTCTGCCTTATCACGCCTTTCCCTAAAATAGACAAACAAACAGCTGGGGGGAACTGTCATCAGCGAAACTGGGAGGAACCGGAGGTCCGGGGAACAGCGACTGAACTAAATGAATATTTCTCGGGTTGACGGTCTTGGTCATAGTATCGATGCTCTATGGCTGGTTTTGCTGCTTACTGATTCGGAGGTCAGGCAGAGATCGTACATAACAAGACTGTTCACTCAACCAATGATGATACATAACAAGATGGTCTACTCAGCCCAAAAAGTGTCCGCCCGAAGTCCGCGCTTTGGTTCAGATTGCGCTGCAGTCTTTGTTTTGAGGCTCTCTTTCGTTTCTCCAGAAGAAAAATAGGAATAACACAGTTTGTTTCTTTTCACTTTTACTTTTATTGTTTTTCACACCAGTAAGGTAACTCTGATCGCAAAGTCCGCACTTTTTCGAAGAGGGCGCCATCGAATTTTGAGGACACTTTTTCAACTGACTCAAAGAGAGGAGTGAACTATCTTGTTATCTACGATCTTTGATGACTGGTTTTGCAGCTTACAGACTGGGCGGACAATGGATTAGCAACTGTGCCAATCGAATACCTTACCTCAGCTGAAAGGGTTTGTCGTGTTTTTGCAGAGTACAGTTTAAGTTAGAATGATGAATGAAAATAGGCTCCCAATTGGTACTGCACAAGTAGAATCTCAACAAAAATCCTCCTTCAAAGTTTTTCTTGTTTCAGCTCCTTATGATTGTAGGCAGTAAACAGGTTCTATCATTTTGTGTGCATATTTGCTCAGATGCATCGTCGAGGTTTCATGATACTTCTTATTTCTGTCCTTATCTTTAGCTGGATCTATTTCTGCTCCAGATGGTTCAAGGGGGGCATATAATTCTTGCTTTTTTGTGGGTCTACAAATCATATGTTTGGAATTTACTGGAAAAATGAATGGAAAAATAACAGCATCAGCAGCAGCAGCAGTAGCAACAACAACAACAACAGCAACAACAACAACAACAACAACAACAACAACAATTACCACAACAACACAAAGACAACCAAACCCCATGGTGATTCGACATAAGGCTCTAGATATAGAAAATCGAGATAAAATATATTAACTAGATATCTACCTCGTCTAGCTGTTTTCGATTACTCTAGACAATGACGTCAAAGTCGCCATTCCCAGGTGCAGCCCACAGAGAGCACGAGCGATGGAAGACATTAACAGAAAAGTGGAGCCGGAAATAAAAAAACAAAAACATTTACAATAAACAAACGTGAAAGGCCTTCATAAAAATTACAAAGGCATTTCTTCTTCTTCTTCTTTTTCTTCTTCTTCTTCTTTTTCTTCTTCTTCTTCTTCTTCTTCTTCTTCTTCTTCTTCTTCTTCTTCTTCTT